CGGCTGCTCGGACGAGAGCAAGATAATTGCTGTACAGCTGCAGTTAAATTGGCGATCTGGCTGCGCAGATCGTCCAGCTCGGATCTGGGAACATTGGCAGCGGGTGCGCTGACAACCGGAGCAGCAGCAACAGTTGCAGTGGAGTGTGGGGCTGTGACCTCTAGGATTCGGGCGGCCATGTCGGTAATCTTGTCTAAAAAATATTAAAAAAGTACTGCAGTCTGCAGGCATATGTACTTGTCGGGGGTCACCAATTTAGAGGTCGGGGAAACCGAATTACTTTTAATGCGTGCCACAAGTTTACAGAAAACCACTCGATTTTTATTGGTAAGATTCTCCCATATCCCACACAATCAACTGAGTTAGTCTGAGTAAGTATGATGCCAGCAGCATGACAGAGAAAAACAAACAGCCAGTCAACTGCATACATGCCTGTTGTCCAATGCACCCTGCAAGTACGGCTGACATCCCAGGCTTCCTGTTTTTGTTTATTTGTTTTCTGACGTTTTCTGCTGGCTGAGCTCCTTGCTCTGTGTTTGGTCCGGAGACACCCCCCCCCCTGATTTAGGTACCATTGCCTTTGGGTTATCCGTCATAATAATAATGTAAAACTCTCTGGCCTAGCTCGGGTCAGTGAGAGAGGCCTCAATAAAAAGGGAGAATGGGCAGCTAAAAACGTAGCATGCGTACAGTGTGTATAGCTAGCAAGGTCAAAAGATTTTTTTTTTTTTTTTTTTTTTTTTAAACAAACAGTACAGTACAATTTTATTGAAACAAAGAAAAATGATGGCACCTATGTACAGGGGATGGCCCACGCCTGGTATAAAGTAAACGTAAAAGAGAAAAAAGTAGTACAGTGAAATCGATAACAATAGTTCAGTTCCCACACAATACCGCTCCTGAGCCGGATCAGACCACAATCCTAGCCTCGGCAACCGCCAGTGCGGCAGAAGCAGAGACAAGGCGGTGGCAGTGGATCGGTCGGCGGGCACCCCGAAGACAGGCAACACTTGCACGCAGGAGGGCGAAGCTCAGCCGGGCACGAATCCAGGCCATGACAGAGGAGTAGGCTTCACGAGTCTTCTCGGACAACATGGAGGCAATGCGCTTGTAAAGAGAAATAGCTGAATTGCCCATGCCACCATGTGCCGAGAAAACCACAGGGATGAAGCCTGCCCGCTCAACGTGCTGAACCCTTTCTCCGTAGGCCCGGCGCTTCTCACGTTCGTGTCGCTTGTAGCAGGATGCCGCAGATGATGAGCGATTTGATGGAGCGTGCGGGTTGAAGACCCGGACGTCCAGGTAGCTCCGTTCAAACCGGCCACCATAGATACCGCTCGCGACAACATCCAGCCGACCCAGGTCATCCCGCACAGCTGTGCGATAGCGCAAGTTCTCCCCGGTCAAGGGCTGGAGGGTTGGCTCCACGTTGACGTCATGCGCCACACGACCGAGCAGCTGCGCCGTGAGATCCCTCACCTCATTGTGCCGCATGATGATGAAGCCGCCCGTAGCGCAGGAGAGAGCATGTGCAACAGTGAACGTTGCACCACACGAGCAGGTTGATGGCAGTCGGTCCGGGTGCCACCCATAGCGAAGCGCCAGCCCATCACGAAACTGGGCCTTGGACAGGGTAAAGCCATGACGTGCTAGTGGGCGGCATGTAAGCCAGCTTGAGGCTCCTTTCTCGCTGCCAAGCTCCATGGCACGCTTGACTGGGGGAGATGCATCATTTGCGAGCTCCATGGCACGGTGGGCCACCGACCTTCGCTGCTCACGCCGTACCTCACCTTTGCGGTCCCTGACCTCAGCCAATGACTCTCCCAGGATACCAGCCTGAGTGTTCATTTGATGGACTAGCGCAGTAGTGATGTGCCGAGAAGCCGAGTACTGACTGGAGAGAGATGTAGGATCCACCAGGCCAAGACCACCATGGCGACAAGGAAACCCAATGAGGCTGCGGTATTCTTGGTCGATGTGTTGGCCAGTCAGCACTGGGATCAGCTCTGTAGCGATGTGACGTTCCAGGGGTCCCAGCTGTTCAGCCGCCCCAGCTAGTGTTCGACAGATGAAGGTCCACTTGTGCTGAAGGCCTCTGGTGAAGGCACTGTATGCTGCCTGAGGTTGCGTGCGTGCATACTCTGTGAGGATAGCTACCTCAGCAAGCCATTCCTCACACTTCTTCTGGACAAAGTGCTGGCAGTACTCCGGTGTGCCGATGGCAGCGCCAAGGTATCGATGGCCTTCACCGGTGATGCGGATCCCTGAGCCGGCGAACACTCTTCGAGCTTCATCCAGACACTCAGGTTTGACTACGAGGACTGACTTTGACGGATTGGCTTGATAGCCAAAAGCTGGGCCCCGTTCCAGGAGACGATCCCACCATACCTTCAATCGCACCATCTTGCCGCCAGCAGATGAATCATCAGCATACCAATGTTGGCATGCCCCATCAGTAGCCACGGACGTGATCAAGGGGAGGATGCCGATGGCATAAATTGGCATAGCCAGCGGGTCACCCTGCGTGGTTCCCTCCCTTGACTGAATGGTTTCTCCCCCAACATGCAAGTTGGCGGGGCTGCGGTAGCAGTTGATGACAATCGTTGCTAGGGCTGGGCATGACAGGCGGATGTTGTGGATACATGCAGCACGGTTGAGGCTGTTAAAGGCGTTACTGGCGTCAGCCATCAGCACACCGTCGACATCCGGGGAGTTGTATACATCCGTCATGGCGTGAATGGTGGCCTCAATGCCACAGTCTTGGCCTGCGCAAAGTTGTTGGCTACCTGCTGCTTCCTGGATATCATTTCCAATGATTGACAGGATTGCTTTTCCAATCACACGACGGATCACCTCGCCAATTCCAATGGGTCTGACCCCTGGGTTTTTGGCCAGGGGCACAAGCCGAGATGCAAGATAGGCCTCTAGAGAGGAGGGGTTGACATACTTTGTTGCTAGGCGGCGTGCACAGCAAGCTAGAGAATCACACAGGGCATCCGAAGCATCCGCAAAGCTGGTGCATAGCGAGTGCCATGTGGCAGCGTCCACTCCTGATGGCCCCGCAGCTCCATTTGTGTGCAGAACTGCCTGGCGTATGGCATCTCGGTTCAACTTCTCAAATCTAACTGGGTGGGGTGACGTGGGGAAGGGTCCTTGCATCAGGGCTTCGTGGCTCAAGGGGGCTGCCTCAGGATGCTTTGCCTTGAGGACCTGTCGAACTGTTTCCTCGGAAATCTGATCGTCAAGCTTGAGAAGACCACCCTCGGCTGATCCATCCAGCTGGCGTAGCGCAGCCGAGATTTTCCCATCAGTAACCAGGGACGCGAAATGTCTTGCTGAGTCTTGTACCTTGGGTCTCCCGGTGGCCGACTCGCAATTCAACTGCCGCTGGATGGTCCGGCATTCTTGTCTCAGGTCACAGATATCACCTCTGTTCCATGTTTCCATTCGGCGCTGGAGGATATCCGTGAAGGTGTTCGGATTGGCCCCCGGTGGCTTCTGGAGCAGTAAGAGTTGGAACGTCATGGCAATCTGCAGGGCGGCTCCCTCAAAGACTCCACCATTCCCAAAGCAGGCTAGGTATTGGGCGAGTTGCGCCACAAAGGATTTCCCCACAGTGCCGCGAGGAGGGCTGAAGGTGTTGGGCCTGAAGTGCATTCCTTCTGCATAGGCTTCCCTGATGGCGGTCATTGTGAGTTCCTTGTCCATTGTTCCTAGTGAGAAGTCTTGCCGGATGTCAGCAGGGAAGTCAGGGAGATCAGCTGCAGCGTTGGGCTCCATATCCTGGTTCGTCTCATCCCTAGGCGGGATGTGGATCCCTGGGTCCCCTGCGAGCTGGGATTGCGAAAACTCCAAATTCGCCAGTAGGGCAACCTCCTCTGTTGTGGGCTCAGCAGCAGCTTGGGCATGTGTGTGGATTGCGCGTGGGTCAGTGTCATGCTGTTGGTCTAATATGTTCCACGCCAGCTGTTGAGAATTTGAAACAGTCTCTTGTCGGCACTCCGCAAGCAGAGCAGACGTGAGTGACTCTGGGGTCTCAGCTGTGGTAGCCGGCCTCATTGTCGTGTCACGCTGTGTAGGTCTGACATCGTCAGCATGCTTGCAAGTTGACACTTCTGAACTGGTGCTTGGCTCCGCGGATTCCAGTAAGTTCCATGCTAGCTGTTGAGAGCTTGAAACATTCGACATAGCAGCGGCGAGTGCGGCGGAGGCTATGTCATCCGCTGTGGTTGCACCGGACACAGGCGTTCTCTGAGCGGTGTGTGTGTTGGCTGTCGATCTTCGGTTGGGCGACGCAAATCCGAGTTGCTCAGGTGGAGCTGCCCCGGCCCCTGGCTTGGGTACGGTACTAACGGCTGGCTCTTCTCGTACGGTTACGGTGTTCTTACAGTTCGACTTCCGTCCTGGCGCGCAGCTCGTGCACTTACGATTCTTTTTAGCACATTTGCATTTGTAGCAGGTGCCATTGCCGTTGCACCGGCAACATTGGCCCTTGGTTTCCAGATGACGACCCCCTGGTGGTCCTTCCATGCTGTCCGCCATACCATCAAAGCATTGTGCGATAGAGTCGTCCGCAGAGGTACAAAAAACTTTACGACGCAGAGCTCCAAAAACAGAGTACATAAACCAGAGTGTGCAACTCGGGATCAGTCAAAAGATCAAAATGAGCCGTACGCATGTACATGTACATGGAAAATGCGTATACGTGAGCCAAATATGCACATGTAAACAAAATAATGCAAAGAAAAGATGTTGAGCTAGACGTGGGAATACCATTATTCATGAATACGTACGTGCAAGCACTCTTGCCGTCTTGGTGCAAGCAGATAAAGTGATGGAAAACGATAGGGTTTACGGAAGAAAATGACTAAACCTAGAAAAACCAGTAGGTACACTACAGATCTACACACTTGTACAGCAGTACAGATCGGTAGAATCTACGCCTTGCCTACGCGGGTCTGATCAGCTGATGCGATGTGTCGTTGTGCGGGAAAAAAACGGGAACCGTCGGTACACGTGTGACGTTTGGACAGTTTTTGAACTTTTGGTTCGGCTTTTGCTTGTCTTTGCTGAGATATGCATTTTGTATTTTGCTCTAGTGTAGATTGGCAAGAAGCGCAGTTTGGTTTGTACTTGCCCACACTCTAGAGTAGACTACAAGACTAGTAGAGTGTTCAGTTTGAAAGCGGCAAGTAGTCCCGACGCTCACAGCCAAACTAAAGCCGAAAGGTGCACGCGGACGGCAGTTCAGTACCAAAAAATAAATACTAGTTTCAAGTTTGGCTACAGCAGTTTGGCTTGTTGTTGTCTTGTACCAGGCTGTAGCTTGTGAGCGTCACCGCTCGTGGTGTGCTTACCGTGGTATGTCTTCTTCCAACGGCAGTATTATCCGCCGTGCGCAGGGCCTAACTCCGTATCAAGGTGTCGGACGGTGCTGGGGAGAATTCAAATGTATGAAATGTCGCTGCACCTGGTCCAGTAGCAACACGTGGAGGGACAAGGCTCAGAAGTGTACAATTTGCCGGGAGTACATCTACCCGTTTCGGCAGGACCCACGAAGACTGCGTCTTCCTCGGCCGCCTCGTCCCGCACCCTACGCGCAGCGCACGCCGCGGCCATGGGGTGGCCCACCCTCTCGTCCACTTGGACACAACCAAGCGGACTGCGAGAAGTGTGTGGAATTAGGATTTAGCTGCATCAAATACACCCCTCCGAATCTTGAGTGCAAGTCGTGCGGCACTGTCTGGTTCAGCGACACGAGCGCCAAGGAAGCGGAATGTCCGGTTTGTGGCATCGACATTCCCGTGCGGGACCACGACCCAGGAGAGAGCCAGTTCAGCTGCAAATGTGGCAAGCGTTGGACGAGCGCGTTCGTCAGTCCCGACTTTTTTGTTGACTGTCGTAGCTGTGGACGTGAAATACGTCCGACAAGCACCACTACTAGTAGTACTGCTAGTAGTGGTTCGACTGCGTGTGGCAGTGCTGTGTCAAGTACCGCCACGACAAGTGCTACCACGTGTACTACTACTAGCTCTAACAGTAACGGTGAGGGAAGTGGGTCTTCAGCAAGTACATGCAACTCCTTGGAGAACTCCACCAGCTCAAGTGCCACAAGCTCTACTGCAGCAGTAGGCATGACACCTGGTGAGAATGCTGATGCTGGCGTCGCTAATGGAAGGGTGGCCACGACCGAAACAGCGAACGGCGGCATCCCAGTCATCGACCTGACGTTGGAAGTGAAAAAGGAGGAAGAAGACGAAACGGACGACCTGCAAGTCGTTCTTGTCGTCACCAACAGTAGCCGCCCAACACCATGCACTCCTTGCTGAGCCAACGTGGCCGCAAAGCCATCACCAACCAACAGCAGCAGTCCATTGACAGGAGAGCTGGGTATGCCGCTGTTCTAGCTTTATGATCTCACTGACCGCACTGACTAGCGGATCAGTCCGTTGGCTGCTATGCTGTAGGTGTAGTTTGCTGGCAAGGTAGTGATAACCAAGAAGACAGTCTTGTCTACTATCCAAACAGCACTTAGGGGCGATACACCCCATGCCCCATTGGCCAGGCGATATGCTTCGGGCAACTTGCCCCATGTGCCAGGCAACATGGCAACAGTGCGGGGTCCCCAATGCTGCGTTCCTTTTCCTCTGCTTCACAGTGCGCTTTCCGAAAGCAACAATCCTCCGAGAGCGATATTCCATCTGCTATTGTTCGGTGTGCGTGTGGGTGGAAGTGTCTTGATCGGTTTCTACGCATGGCGTACCGTGATAGTTCCCTACCTGCTCGCATACAACTGGTGTCCTGAGATCCCGAGTCCAGTGGTGATCCGAAATAATTCCACGCTGAACGCCTGTATACCATGCTCAGCGGCCGCCAAGAACCGAGTGCCAATTGTGCACTGCTGCTCTGCGCACCACTTTGTCATGTACTCGCCCCTCTCCCCCTGTTCCTGTATCCCTGGCCATACTCGGGACAGGCACCGTCTAGACTGTAGCTCACGAAATACCATTATAGTAACTGCTGGACAGTTCTCCGCATTCCAATGCTGTCATTGTATCCATATCCTCTTATTTTACATAGCCTCCAATGCTGTAGTGGGTCCCAGAGCATTTCCATGTTATTGCTGGTTTCTTAAAAATTCAACAAGTTTACAAAAAATACCTTTTTGTTTTGTTCCAGACTTCTCCTTGTGTTGAAGGCTTTTTCAAGGTGTCTAACTCAAAGCCCACAAGGCTAACTCGCTATCCGGCGTGTGTGTGTGTATGTGTGTGTGTGTGTTTGTGTGCATGCGCCCGTGTGTGTATGAAAATCTGTGGGTGCACATCCAGTGTATTTGCAGATTTGCGTGCTTCTCTTGCTACGGGCGTGTACATGGTACATGGTGTGTGTGTGTGTGTGTGTGTGTGTGTGTGTGTGTGTGTGTGTGTGTGTGTGTGTATGTGTGTGTAGGGGGGGGGGGGGGGGGTTGTACATGTGTGTGTGTCAGTGTGGTCACACACGTCTTTCTTCTCTTTCTCAGACTCCGAACTTTTCTTTCATTCTCCTGGGTGGTTACCAGCAGCCAGTGCATGCGGAGTATATGGTGTGATGTGTGTGCGTGAACATTTTTTATAAATGACCAAAAACTAGGGATTTACTGGCCAGAAAAGCCACTTCATAGCTGTGTGGTGTAGACCAGGCTGAATAGTGGCGGGCAATTCTTCAGCCTTGCAAGCTGTTGAATGGTGCAATCCCAGCACAAGCTGCTATGGCTTCTGCTGTAGCATCGCTATCATCGCCTCCGGCGATGGGCTTGAAAATTTAATGGTCAATGGCATAATTATGCGTGTGTGTGTGGTGTATGTGTGTGTGTGTTTGTTTGTTTGTTCGTATGCAGGTGTGCTCATATCTTCATGTGCGTGTGCGCATATGTCGTGTTTGTGTTGGCGGATCTACTCTGTCCAGCGGCCATGTTCAGTGCGAATTTTTCTTTTGTCAAGCTCACAACAGCGGCCATTCATGTGAACAAAGAGAGTACTCTAGTAACCCTGCTCCGGCTTTACAAATGTAGTTCATAGCAATTCGAACTACTGTTTGCTCCTCTGTGCTAGCAAAGCGAACAAAAGTCAATCCCCTTCCCACATACACACACACAGCCATTTACATGTACTACGTCTGCAGTATCTTCGTGAACATGAATTGACTGCAGTGGCATGCACGGCTGCGCACGCTAAAAATGGGTAAATCACACCTGAAAATGGGTAAATCACACATGAAAATGGGTACCACACCTGAAAATGGGTAAATTACACCTGAAATAGGTAGATCACACCTGAAAATGGGTAGATCACACCTGAAAATGGGTAGATCACACCTGAAAACTTATTTGTGATACAGTCCGACCTTGCTTAACCGCACACATCCGTTTTCCACAAAAATATCCGGATAGCCGAGGGAACCGGATAATCGAACACACATAATGTATGCCGGTATGCATGACATAATCATGCTGTAAATCGGTGACCAACAATTTTCTTCCGGATGGCGAGGGATCCGGATGAAAGAGGACCCGGGATAAGCGAGGTCTGACTGTACCAGCACCCATAAATCATAAACAGAAGGGTCAACTGTGGCTGTTGGAGCGCGGAAACAAACTGGCGATGAGAACACAAACTGTGACGTGCACATTGGCTAGTACGCGTACTCTGAAGACTAGACAAACTACAGTGCAGATAATCTCATGACGTTGAGCATCATGTCAACGTCGTGACAAGTTTAGTCCAGTTCAAACTCCCCACACCACACATACGCTCTGCGACGGCCGGCCTCATTCACCACACCAGCCCAGCAGTGCCCTCAATGCTGCTACGAATTCATCACCAGTCGAAAAACGTTTGCAGATACGGAGGTTGAAACATGATCAGTAAACCTAAGAATATCGGCTTTGCCAGAAAGCCGCGTGCGGGGTCGTGAACGAGTATATCATCTGTCATGTACGAGTAGGAGTATGTGCCGGCACATGAGTGTGCGTATGTGTATGATTTGAAGAATTCGGCTAGGCCTGGAGACTTTCTACGTGGACGGGCAGTGTTACACCGCTATGCAATGGGATATAGGCAGGGCGCCAGAAATACAGTCGGGGGGGGGGGGGGGGGGGAGATAAAAACAGTACGCCAGCAGATGAAATTTACAATAATCTGCACAGCTGGAATGTGACCAAAGAGAGGAGGATTAGTCGGCGTGAAGGCATATCGAAGCACTGCAACATTTCCGCTCATAGACTGCAGCTGTTCACTCACTACACTAATGTGAACAGCAATCACAAGCTGCAGCAGGTCAATACATGCGGGGGATGGAGAAGCAGAATGCTTCGGAGTAGAATTCGGCGGCGGCAAATATATCGGCGGCGGCGACTGAATACATTGACATGCAACACATGAAGACCAGGGTGCTATGCCGCATAAACCGGGGAAATTGTAGCATGGATATTTGGGTGAAAGAAAAAAATGATGAAATGCAGGACTTGCTGGTTACCAACGGATCATTTTAATTTTATTTTTATCGTCAAAAAAAAACACAAAAAACCTTCAGACATAAAGATGTGTAGTGATGAGAGCACAGCGGCAGCGGGGGTGAGGAGATCCGACCAGCTCCAATCAAAGTAAAATAGACTGTGATAATTGCACTTGAAGTAGTGCAGACAAACGTTCAGTTGTAATTCGAATGGCATCATCAAGCCACACACACACACACATGCACACACACACACACACACACACACACACACACACACACACACACACACACACACACACACACACACGTAGATCGTCCGGCTTTCACCCACCTGCTGAACATATAGCCACACTGCATTGTGACGGGTATGCGGAGTTCTCAAATGATTGTTCCTTCGCCTCTGGTCTGAGAAGAACTGGATGCCACGCACAATACACACGATCTTCACGGAATCACTACCGTACAGTGCAGATGACGTGTTTGCAACGTAAAAATTCTTCACACACTGAGCCAACACGGACGCACAACACTTCCGATGAACACTCTCTAACTACCGGTGAAGCGCATGTCCACGCAATCCTGAACGCTGAAACACAGTGTGTGTAATGTGCCTGAATTCCTTCCACCTCTCACTGAGGGAACATAGTGTGTGTAACGTGCCTGCATTCCTTACACCTCTCACTGAGCACTATCTCCACTATCATGACTATGTGTCGGTCCGAGCGGACTTTGGGATCTCATAGACGGCGAGTCGTCGACGTCTAGCAACGGCTCTTCGTCGTGTGACTGCTGGTGCTGTTCGTATAGATCATGCTGGTCCATGTCGTGTCCGTACTCGTCTTGACCTCCGTACCAGGCCGGTGGTGCCATCCCTTGGCGATGCTGCTGGTCGGGGTACTGCGGAGAATCATGGCGTTGCTGTTGCTGCTGCTGGTGGTGGTGCTGGTGGTGGTGGTGGGCCGGGAACGGCACTGACTGATGATGTTGCTGCTGTTGCTGGTGGTGGTGTTGATGCTGCTGCTGTTGCTGGTGCTGCAAGACGATTGGTTGCATGGTGGGTACGGACCCAGGTGGATACTCCGTCATGGCGTACTGGTTCGGCATGCCCTGAGCTATTCCGGCCGCCGATGTTGCTCCGTCAGGAAACACGTGCAACGGCAACGGCGGCGGAGCTTGCTGCTGCGAACGTGCAAGGGCGCTCGGTGGGCTGCTGATGCGCGTGATGCGGCGACGGTTGCGCACCATGTCCACGTACACCAGCTTCTTGCCCTCACGTGCCGCCTGCTCGCGCATCGGCTGCACGAGGCGACGGCGTGCGTTCACAAACCTGAGCACGCGGACACACACAAACGACAGCATGCACAATCAGAAAATGTCCAAGAACTGGGAATGAACGCACCTGCTGTAGACCAGAAAATGTTCCACTTGGGAATATTCATGATCATGCAACGGCCATCAACCTATTAAAACACGATAACAGAGCTGAAATGGTGTCCAATTCACCGAACTGTTCAACTCAATGCATTGCACATTTGGAAATCAACACCTCGAGACTGCACACCTTTCCAATCTGATATTTTAACAGAAGGAGAAATTGACTCTCTGAGTTGAGCCTTTTCTCTTCTTCTTTTTTTGTAGAAGTAAACTTTACTAGACAACAGCTGGTTCTGCAACTACCCCTGTGATGCCACGGTCTCATGCTAATAATTGGCAACTCAATGGCAACAGACTAGCATACAGGAATGACTCAACTCCGTTCGAGTGACTCTGGCCCCAGAACAAACTTCAACGTGACAGCACAGAATCTTCTACTTCGAAGTACGAAACGTTTGCCGCGGACCGATGGTGCGTGACGATGCGTGTTTGGTTGAGCACTGTTTTGCAACTTTTGTTGTCAAACTGTTAAGAAAAGGCGCTATCTCCTGTGCCTATCCACAGATCACTGTGTATAATAGTGCATCCAATTTGGTCACTTCACCTCCGCTAGTACAATACTTTAAACCTGTGTTTGTCGGATCCTGTACCAAGCGGAATCCTGCGTTGACCGGATAAATTTTCACGCACCGATGTGCTATGGATCGTACTTGCATCCCTGGATCAAGCGGAATCCTGACATGTCAGGACATCTTCCGCTGCACCAAAGGGAGTCCGGTCCGGATAGGCCAGATTTTATACTGTACGTGAAATCAAGAAGGTGTGGTGTGTGCGGGGGGGGGGGGGGAGGGGGGGGGGGGTAGTATGTTTATAGTAAGGGGCCTTCCGTAAATACCGATATTTATTTAGAAACGAAAACTAGTCGTTTCTCTTCAACCCCCCTCCCCCTCCCTGAGAAACGAACACATACAAAATTACATAGTATCGATATTTTTGGTCTTTTTCTGGACATGCTCACACATGCAAAATGTACATCGATATTTTTGGAGAAAAGAACAGGCGCTCAATCCCCTCCCCCCCCCCCCCCCCTAAACGACTAGTTTTCGTTTCTAAATAAATATCTATATTAACGGATGGCCCCTTAGGTAAACCAACTCACCAGTAATCTATTTGCTGCATTGTCAGGTTTGTTTGCTGTGCCATCACTTTCTTCTCAGGCTCCGTCGGGTATGGATTCTGCAAAAGCAGCAAAACACACACATACACACACACACACACACACACACACACACACACACACACACATGCAGTTGTACATACAGTCATGAACACACGTGAATGGACGCATGCCCATGCACACGTGCGTACATACACATACACACATACATACCTTTGACCTTTGACGCCCATCGCCGGAGGCGATGATAGCAATGCTACGGCAGAAGCCATAGCAACTTGTGCTGGGATTACACCATTCAACAGCTTGCAAGGCTGAAGAATTGACCGTCACTATTCAGCCTGGTCTACACCATACAGCTATTTGGAGTGACATTTTCTGGCCAGTGAATCCCTATTTTTGGTCTTTTTCATTTTTTTTTCCCGCACACACATCGCACACACATACATACATA